CCTGTATATGCCTACCGCACAAAGAAACCGAACAGAAAATAAGATCACGCTAAGAAAAAGAAGGTGAAAAGGATTTTTATAGTTGTACTTGGGTATATCATGCATGTGTATAATAATTACTATATTAAAAGATACAAAATTTATTTGCTACATTAGAAATGGTTCTTTAAAAAGTTTTTCGCTTCTGAACAGTTAGTCAGGTTGAATAAAAAATTATTGTTGACTAATGTAAAACACGACTACCTATATTAAATACGCAATTATTAAAAAAAATATAAACCTATATGAGATAGTTAAAGCCTTACTCCTTTTTTATATATATGTATATAGCTAAACTTTCGATAATAAAAATCTCTATATAAATCTATCGACTAGATGTATCAACATACGTCCACGATTATTTTGAGTGCTTGGAAATACCATGAATAAAGATATTTGAGAATAATTTTGGAAGCGTCACTATGAGCCACGCACCTGTAGAGCAAAGCCAAATGTGACAGTTTTCAATTCATATCTTTTTTATAACAACCATAGGTAAACTGTCAATAAGCTCTCTCTATACATTTATGGACTTCATGTACCAACATATTTCCACGATCCTTTCGAGCGGTTGAAAATACCATGAATAAAGATGTTTGCGTATAGTTTTGGAAGTGTTGCTATGAGCACATGTAGAATAAGGCCCATCGTGACACTTGATTTTCAATTTACAACTTTTTAATATCAACGGTAAAAGAAACATATTTTCATGGATCGTTGTTCAAACTGTAGTCATTTCACTCTCAGTTATATCAAAAAGATTTTTAATTGTAAAGAAAAATCTTATAACGTAGAGAAACACTCAATACTACTCTATATACCTATATAACTGAAAATCTCTAATCTCTAATGAATCTCTAAGGAACCAAAACAACTATTTTTTATTGTGATGAACTTTGGAGGAAACTTTAATACATGCATTATTATAACTCAACTGTTTATATAGATAATAAATAATTAATGTATTAAATTCAAGCTTTATATAGCTTCTCTATTAAATACAATTTTTATTAAAGTAAAAATAGTCACTCCTGTCATTTTGACGTTAAAATCAAATTAAATATTCAAAAATTATGTTTATTTTAAAATTCAAATTATTCCAATGATGAGGCAACTACTTTTTAAATAATATATAGAAGGATTGAACTGCCTTTGTGATTGATAACTTATTGTTTTGATTTTTAGGTAAGTAGAACATGATATTAACAAATGGGTCAAGCAATATGAAAATATGATCAATAAAAATATGTTATGATTAATACCCATCACTACATAGCTAACAGCTTAGTACAAGAATGTGTAACGAAGCTCATGGAATGTGCTCATGGCAATGAGGTGACGATCATGTGGGTTAAAGGACACATCGGTATTGAGCAAAACGAGAAGGCAGATGAACTTGCAAAGCAAGGATCAAGCCATAATTTCTGTGGCCCGGAGCCCAGAATACCATTGGGGTACAGCATGACGACAGACTATGTCTATAAGTGAATAATCACACTTCATTTTAATAGATGGAGAGAGTTGAGCACTTGTAGACAGACCAAACTCATGTTATCAAAACCGTGGGCCAGAGAAGCGATAAAGGTGCTTAGCTATTCGCGGAGCACTCTAAGCTGGCTGACCTCACTAATTACTGGACATGGTAACTTCAACTATCACGTCAAAAAGATAACTCTTGCTGAGGAAGACACTTACAGACTATGTTTAGAAGAAAAGGAGACAGCGGTGCATATATTGTGCCAATGTCCAGCACTGGCAAGTAGAAGGAAGACTGTCGTGGGACACCATTGAGTTGGTGACGACTTGGCAGGAAACCTCAAGCTAAATGAGCTGCTTGCATTAACAAAAAATGTAGTTATGCGAACGGAAGCCACTCCAGCTTTAACTCAATAACAACATCCGAGAATCGAAGGACGAAAAAGGACCCAAGTCGTTTCATGGTCTACTTCGACTAATCCTTTACTTCAGTGGGGCCATTTGCTGTCCCAACGTCCCACCATATATATATATAATACCCATCACAATGGCTTGAGTGCACTTTATTCTATTAGTGACGTATACAAAAGTAGCCCAAAATATTTCAGACCTTATTGATTTAATTAATTTCTTTCATTTATTTTTTTTCAAATAAAATTTAAACTAGCTTTCAGGATTCTTCCTTTAATAAGTCTCTAATTACGCTGCCTTCTTTGTTTTAAATTTTAGGTTAATTCTTTCATGCACTACGGATTTAAATTTTTTTAAGAATTGCCTTCTTAAAGGCATATAATATATAATATATGAAAGTAAAACAAATAACTGCCAGGTTAACCATGACTAGGTTCTATACAAAAATAGTCACTTTTTAAACATAATCGTATAGCTAAAAGGTTAAATTCACTAATATTCTATATAAAAAATGTCAACTTTATATATGTATTTATAATCATTGTAAATTTGTAAATTTTTATCCGAATTGTAGGATTTTATTGATTTCTTATTTTAATTTGAGATTAAAATTAAAGTAAAAGGAATATTAAAATAAAATTTATTAAACATTTAAATTATTTTTTTAGTTACATAAACATTTAAAAAGTGAAGCCATATTGAGTAACAAAAAAATCCACATAAAGTGCGAAAATTTGTTTATTAATTTAATGTTTTTTTAATGAAACTGCCAATTTGAAAATCCAATTTGATGCATTGAAACAATGATTTCATCTCACTTTATAAGGACGACGAAAATGTAAATTCAAACAGAAAAACCCAAATTTTGAGACTTACTAGACATAAATAGTTTTTCGCCCTGGTAATACGGAAGATAAATGTGGGTATCAGCTTTATTCTGGCGGTCACCTTTAATGCCATAACATGGATCCCAAACGTTTGTGTCACCTGTGACACATTTAAGTTTTTTTTATTTTTTTAGATATAATTTGCTTTTAATAAATTTTTATTAATTTTGGTCTTTATAAAAAATTAATTGTGACTAGTGGCTAGTGTGTTTATGAAGTATAGTCAGAAAATCGTGTTCTATGTTAAAATGCATTTCTTTGCATATCAAATAAATTTGTATTGTGTTAATAATAATTTAAAAAGAAATGAAAGTGCAAAAACTATTGTGAATAAAAATTTGTAACTATTTATAGCACTATTAATATTTTACAGATATAAATTACCTCCTTCTTCTTCTGAATCTGACATAAAAGACTCATGCATAGCCTCAGGAGCGACAACACGATATTTTTCATCCATTTGTGCTGAAGCATCCTCTTCATTTGTTATTGATTTCAATGAATCCAAAACACTTATATAACCCAATTTTCGTGCTATATGTAAGGGTGTTTGTCCATTGACAGTCTGAGCATTTGCATTAGCCTTATGTTCTAATAACAAATTGACAATATGACAATGTCCTTGTTGTGCAGTCTGATGTAATGGTGTATAGCCAATTGATGTAGATGCGTCGACATTGGCACCATGTTGTAAGAGAAATCGTACCATATTTGCTTGTCCGAAATGGGAAGCTACATGCAATGGTGTGTAACCAGCCTTAGTGGCCATATCAATATTGGCGCCATTACGTTGCAAAATTTCAGCAACATTTACATTATCCTCTTGAGCACATAAATGCATTGGTGTCAAACCATTCTTAGCTGGATGATTTACACCAGCTCTATGTTCGATAAGTAAATTAGAAATATCAGTGTGACCCTCCTGTATCAATAAAACATAAAATTTTTAAGTGAATAAAATTTATTTAAAGCTAATAAAATTATATATTTAACCTGGCAACTTAAGTGAAGTGGTGTAAAACCGGCTTTGCTTTCCGCATTTGCTTGAGCTCCATATTCCAGTAAAGTTGATGCAATATCCATTTGATTCTTACGTGCTGCAATATGTAATGGTGTATGACCATTTTTAGCTGTAGCATGTGGACTAGCACCTTTTTCGAGTAAGAGTAATGCTACATTTTGATTATTATAATGACAAGCAACATGAAGTGGTGTTACACCGTTTTTGCCTTGTGCATCAACATCTGCCTCCTTTTGCAACAGGAGTTGTGCAACTTTAATATTACCATATTTCGCTGTTAGATGTAGAGGTGTAAAACCTTTTTTGGTGGCAGCGTCTAATGCTGCACCATTCTCAATCAACACAGCAGCAACCTATAAAAAAGAGGTTTTAGATTTGATTAAAATTGTATAAAATTTTATAAAAATATTTTGTTTATATATTACATCGAAAGTAGTGATAAATAACTTCCTATATTATATATATCATTATAGGTACATTACAAAAAATTGGGTTAGAACAGGTCATTGTGGCAGTTGAACTTGTTGACTAACTCACTTGGTTCCAAGAACCGTCGAGTCTACGTCCCGGAACAGCTCGTCGCCAGCGACGATGAAATGCCGTTCAACACTCCTCAAAGCAGGTTACAACAACAACAACTAATGCACTTGGACTCGAAGTCCAAGATTTGAAAATTTATAGTAAAATTGTTAAATATATATTAAAAAAAAAATTTAAGATGAATAAAAGACAGTTTAGACTGACATATAAAAAGTTAGTCAAATAGCTTTGATAAAACTTTTTTTGTAACAAGTTATTGAAAGGCGTGGGAACCTATAAAGCAGAAAACGTGAAAGGAACACAAAGGTTAAGAATAAGGTGTGTATTAAAGAAGAAGGATTGTGTGAAACTAGGGATGATGACGGTGTGGTTGGTGCTGAGTGCAATTAGATGCGATGAAAGAACTTCGCCACTGTATTGGAACAGAGCCGTGATTCAGTAGAGCTCACTTTCGCTAAATTTCGTTATATTAAGACTGAACAGATGAGCGACAACAGGAACAATATTAATAGGAATATGATTTGTTGCTATAACATAGAAGTCACTACTTAATTTTTGATTTCAAGATTTATATATTATTTTTTTAATAAACAGATGCACGATGGCCATTTAGTTAGTTTCTAATGTATTTTATTTTCTATGTAATATGTTTATTGCAACGAGGGGTATTGAATAGATAATAAACAGCAAATCTTTCTAGCCACTTGATTATAATGATTGTAAAAAATATGTTGTTATTTACAGCACTATTTATTTAAATAGTGGCAATATTATGTAAACGATTTATATTATAATTTTAAATAAGAAGAAAATAAACTGAAATTTCGAACATAATTAACAAAATACACATTACTAACAGAAGATTTTAATCATAAAAATTTTGGTTAAAAAATGATTTAAACAATTGTACTAATTATTGGAGTAGTAGCAACATTAGGTAAACGATTTATATAGAGGTTTCGAACAGTACTGAATTGCAACCACAAAAATTTTTATTTTTAATTAATAGAATTTTTGGCTGCCCATACAGCTGTGTCGAGTTTTGTCAAATACCAATTCAGTACTGTTTGTTAAGTAAAATAGTCACTACCGTTATTACTGACGTTGAAATCAAATTTAGCAAACTATTTTTATAATTAGAAAAAAGAAAATGAAAACTAAAATTTCAAACAAAATTAACAAAATATTCATTAAGCACAGAAGACTTTCATCATAAAAATTATAGATTAAAAAACCCATGATAATTGTATAACAGTAACAAAAAAAATCATAGTGTTAAACATCGTGATAATATTGATTTAAACTGATATTTACTACTATTAGCTATAGGCTTTTAAGAAATTAAAAAATCTGTAAAAAAAAACCACCAATACAAACTAAACATCGAAAAAAATAATAAAACATTTGATTATTAAATAGACAATATGAATTGTTTATTGAAAATAAATCATAATAAAATATTATTTAAGAAATGAACACATTACAATCAATTTACAAAATTAAACAAAATACTTTATGTGTACTTTCTATGTATAATCTTAAAATTAATATAACAAAAAATCAACCATTCTTATGAAAAATCGTTCGTTTATAAAAAAACATAGAAAATATAAAAAATAATACGTCATGTATAATAAAATATAAAAATTACATTAAATAAAAAATCTTAAATAAAATAATAAATTTAAATTTAAATGAAATACTCCTGATGGCGTATCCAAAATAATTGCATTAAATACACTGTATCGATGTGATCCAATATTTTTTTCGCTATTAATTCTTTTACCTCATCCTGTCCCTCCTTGGCAGCAATATGCAAAGCTGTATACATATCCTTGGTAGTTGCATCAACTTGAGCACCATGTTGTAGCAAAAGCATAACAATGTCAACATTACCTAAACGTGATGCAATATGCAATGGCGTTTGCTGTTCACGTGCTCGTGCATCAACCTGTGCACCGTTGCGCAATAAAATGCGTATAATATCAGTCTAAAAAACCAAAAAGTTACACAAAAGATAAAACATAGAACATAGAAAAATATTTATGTAGCATTTACCTGATTGGCTCTGGCAGCCAAATGCAATGGTGTTTCACCACGTACTGTGGGTACATCAGGACTAGCATCATGTTGTAGTAAATATATGACAATATTCATGCAGCCCATAAATGCTGCAACGTGTAAAGGCGTTAAACCACTTTCAGTAGTTGCACTTATACTAGCACCGTGTCGCAATAACAATTCAACAACTTTAATGCGATTCTTCTTACAGGCAATATGCAATGGTGTAAACCCATTTAAAGCACGTGCATTTGCATCAGCATTTCGATCTAAAAGTAATTTAGCGACGCGCACATGACCACAATGTGCAGCAACGTGCAATGCTGTTAAATAATCCACAGTCACTTCATCGACAGGAGCACGATGATAGAGTAAAATACGTGCGGCATCTACATGCTCGCCTTGTGCTGCCATGTGCAATGGTGCCAAACCGTTCTTAGTTTTAGCACTTATTGGCGCACCACGTTCGAGTAGCATATCAACAACTTGTTCGTGTCCAGAACGTGCAGCACAATGCAGTGGTGTCAAACCATCACGAGTTTTTGCCTCTATGTTCGCACCCTTTTCCAATAAAAGTGAAACCATGTTAGTCTTGCCCCATTTCGCAGCGACATGCAATGGACTGATATTATGTTTAGCCGAATAATTAACATCTGCACCTTTTTGTATTAATAAATTAGCTATATTTTGATTGCCATAATGTGAGGCAATATGCAATGGTGTAAAGCCAGATTTGGAAGTAACGTCGGGATTGTGATCATTCTATAAAAAAGAAAAGAAAAGTAATATTTTAAATCTTATAATACACATAATAAACATTATACAGTACAGTACATACATCTAATAATAGAGTCGCAGCTTTTACATCATCCTTTTTTGCTGCTATGTGCAGAGCTGGCAGACGTACTTTACCACGTGTATCACTCTCTAATAATACAGCAACGACTTTATCATGTCCTTGCTGCATTGCTACAGCCAATGGTGTAAAGCCATCCTCTGTTGCTAAACTTTGATTAGCACCATTGGATAAAAGCAATTTAACTACTGAATCGTGATTCTCTTGAGCGGCCATGTATAGTGGCGTAAATCCATTTTGTGATTGAACATTTACTGATGCATGGTGTTCTAATAATAGTTTCACCACCTCCTCCTGTCCAGCGAGCGATGCAATATGCAATGCTGTGTTACCTTTTTTTGTGGCACTGTCAACAATTGCACCACGACGCAAAAGTTCTGATACAACATGTATGTGACCATCTTTGGAAGCCAAATGCAATGCATTCAAGCCATTCTAAAATTATTTAAAAAAGACATAAAGCAATTAATAACTTTTGCATGTTGGTAACTTTCATTTACTTTGTATGTTATTTATTCTACATTCTATAACTTATTAGGGTAATGCCTTTTATAACATATCAAAGCAAAAAATCGATATTTTTATTTTATACTTACTGCATTGCTAGTGTTTATGTCAATATTATTTTTTAAGTGTTCGAGTACTCTTTCCAAGTTTCCAGCTCTGGCAGCACGCAAAAACGATGTATTTCCATCGCCCTGAAAATGAAAAGAATATCTATTAAATATACGAATCTTTTTATATAAATTTTATTATTTCTAATATAACAAAGTAACGAACAATTCGATGAAAATAGAAATTTCGTATAGCGCGTTCTTCCATTAGTCGTGTAATTCGTATACTGAGCTTTCAAAGTAGTTTGCAAATGCTTAAGTATCCTTAAAATATTTAAAAGCTTTCAACTTTATAAATTTTTAATGTATCCATAAAATATTACTAAAACTTCTAGATTTTTAATTAATTAATTATAGTAAGTTAATTTAACCAATTAACTCAAACCTCAAAGCTAAGATAAGTATACTGTCAGGTCACTGTGTTTTACACTTCAAATTTATATTAAAATAATATAATATTAAATGCTTTAAAAGCTATAAAGTGAAACTGAGAAGTGTAAAAAACTAGATTCTCAATAATTCATTAAAATACTAAATTAAAAGACTATGAATTAATTAATTGAATTTGGATATAATTTCACATGAGTGTTAAAAATTTGTGTTTACAACAGCATAAATTCTCTTAGCAGAACTGTATATAGTAAAGATATGCCTTTACTATATACTACATATATACCAGACCAGTTAATACCGAATATATGTTTAAAAATCGACGAAGGTTAGCATACAGCCAACATATTTAAGACAGAGTTTTTATACATATATAAAGATATACTATTACATTATTTTAGTAATAGTAAAATAGTGAAAATAATTAGTAAAAAAATAGAGCAATGTTATCATATTATTATATATATTTTATATTATATTTTATATTATATTATTATATTATATTATTATATTATATTATTATATTATATTATTATATTATATTATTATATTATATTATTATATTATATACTATATTATTATTGCCTGTTAAGGCATTTGCTCATTTACAACTAATTTTTTATATAACATATAAAGTGTACTTCTGCAAATCTATCAACCCAGAAAAAAAGTACCATTTTACAGAGTTTAAAATGTTCAAAATCACCTATGGAATACTTAATATTATACTCTTAAACGATTTAAAAATTTGTTTTTAGCTTAGCGTCTTAGATAAGGAAATATCTATAACGCAATTAAAAAAATATGAGAACTAAACAACATTTAAAGAGTTCAATCAGACTGTTTTACATCAATTAAGAGTTAAGCAACCTGTTCACCAAAAATTGAAAAAATGCGTAAAACCGTGAATATTGAACCCACAAGTCAGTCTCTTTGTAATCTCTTTATAAAGAGACACCTCGGCAGAGGTTAAGCCGGTTATTGACGGTTTAATTAACTAAACATCACAACCTACGTTACCATATTAACAAGATGGATATAGTATGCTTGAGATGACAAATGGTAGTCTCTGCTAAAGAAAGATGCGTCTATGTTTACCTAGCTTTGTTCTCGGCTTGAAAGTGGATTCAAGACAGGAGCACTTTTAACGAGTGGTATTGGGAAATTCTCAACCGGGAACATGCTAACCTTCATACAGAAAGCTAAATATATTTTACTGAATAATAATTAATTTTAAGTGTAGCAAATGTATGAATGCAAATGGATGAAATGTGTAGAATCCTCTTCTATTCTGTATGCTGATAAATGCAAAAAAAAAGACTAAATTAATGAAAATAATGAATATATGGTTTACTGAAATATCCAATTGATGTCTATAGAAAAACTTTAGCTTGAATCTAACACAAAACCTGAGAAACTAATTTATGTAGAAATCGGCACTGATAAAAATAAAGCAAGGTCAGATTATTTTGTCACATTTATCAAGGTTTTTCAGAGTTGTCAAATTTAACACACCCTCATAACCTGGATCAAATTAGTTTAGCAGTGGATCGAGGAAAAAGACTTAGATTTTTAAAAAAAAGTTTATTTATCTCATATATGTATCAAGTATCTCATTTATATATATTTGTATGTAGTCTTAATTTTTTTATACAACATGTATTAGTTCTATTAAGTTTTTTTAAATATGTGCACCGCCCGAAAACATAACATAAAATTAAAGTTTATATGGACAGACATAAGGTAAACATAATAAAAAGAATATAAAAAGTTCATTAAAAAATAATAAATGCATTTTTACATGTTTTGTTCTATAATAAAAATGTAAACAAACATGCGTTTTTTTTTTAAATACTTTTACAGGGTACATTGTCCTCCCGGTGATATTAATTACGACTCCCTATTAACCAAGTAAACAGGAAATAAATCACCAACCCCAATAGCATATTGTCTTTAATATCTTATAAACATGTACACGTAAGGATTCGTTATCCTTAATGGAGTTTATATGTAGTATGCATAAAATTTAGCAATAAAACAGGTGCAATCCCTTTTTTTATACTGCCTTTACAATTTATTCCACCTTTTTTACCCCACACACTTCCCACATAATTAATTATTCATGATATTATTGCACGCAAAAGCATATTCTTCCGCATATACTATGACAAAAAAAATGCTACTATATATGTACATATTTTACATATTACATATACATAAAAAAGCATATACAATATTATATACATAATTTGCTTTGTTTACAAAATTTTTGTTTACAATTTTTTCGATATCGAAAGCATCAGTTGGTTTTCCATTCGAAGTCTGTTTCTAATTCAGAAAAAAAAA